TTGATGGTTCTGTTGTCCTCTATTTCTTTTCCTTCACTCTCACTAGGGTCTCCTATGGATTGTTGTTGGTTTTGGATTTGGTTTGTTGTCTCGATTGTTCGTGAATTTTGTAATCATTTGTTGTGATTTATGCATTTGGGTTCAGGGATTGTCAATGTTGTTAAGGATGTGGTGAAGTGTGTTGGTAGAGTGTGATTTGATGGATGGATCTCTATCAGACTTCCCATTTGGCAACCTTCCGCTCAGGGTGGTATGGATAGAGAAATGTGTACTGGTCAGTTGTTAGGGCCCTGTAGTGCACAGGGCAGTCTGGTGTTCTGGCCTTGGTTTAGGCTTGGTGGGTGGCACAGCAGTTTATTGTCCTGGCCTGATTCTGTTTCTGGGATAGGTGGATTCCTGCTAGTTGTAGTGGGGAACTCATTCTTGCCCAAGTCCTGAACTGGTGTCTATTTCCAGAGGGCCTGGAAGCAGTGTTCTAGCACCCAGATCTCCTTTGAGCAGGGGGAGAGCAACAGGTTCCCACTATGCTTTAATGGGAGGTTTTGTGTGTTTGTGTCCCTCCCCCCATGCCTGCATTGGGACAGGAATTGCCCTTGAGAGGGTGGGCTACTAGAGGGTGGCACAAGAGATTGTCCCCACTAGAATCCCAGGCTAGCACCTTCTCAGTCCTAGTCCTAGACTAGTGTCTACTTCCCATGGGGTGAGGGGCTGTGGCTGTGACTGGCATGCTCATGGTTCTGGACTGGCTCATGCTTGGTGGACTGGCATGCTCTTGGTGCTTGATTGGCTTGCACTCTGTGGACTGGCGCACACTTATTTTTTGTTATTTGATTATGGTTATTTTAGTGGGTTTGGAACGGTCTCAATGATTTTTTTGTTGTTGAAAATCAAAGACTTAAAGTACAAATGCTCCATTTCCTTCATTCCCATTTCCATGAGGTAAAATTTAACATTTTTCTTTTAGTACTTATATTTCTAGTTGTATGCTTATACTCTCACTTTAGAATCAGATTTAGATAATACCTCTAGATTCTATCTATGGAAGATGAGTATGTAGTCTATGTACATAGAAATACACACTGATTTAATTAATCCTTTATACAGTATGACTATAATCTTTTTTTTTTTTTTTGGGTCCGGTCATGGGGCCTGAACTCTGGGCCTGGGCCCTGTCCCTAGCTCTTCAGCTCAAGGCTAGCGCTCTACCACTTGAGCCACAGCGCCACTTCTGGCTTTTTTCTTTTTGCTTATGTGGTGCTGAGGAATCGAACCCAGGGCCTCATGCATGCAAGACAAGAGCTCTACCACTGAGCTACCTTCCCAGCCCTATAATCTTAATGTTTTGTTAAATCACTAATTGGCACTTACATTGTTAATGGTCATGCATTTAAAGCCATGTGATATACAAATATTCTATTTATTTAATCATGCATGTCTCTTCTTAATTCCAAATGACCTATGGGAGAAAACTAACTCCATGTTTTCTAGTTCCTCAGTTTTCTTTTTTTCTTTTTTTTTTGTCGGTCATGGGGCTTGAACTCTGGGCTTAGGCGCTGTCTCTCAGCTCTTCAGCTCAAGGCAAGCAATCTACTGCTTGAGCCACAGCGCCATTTCCAGCTCGTCAGTTTTCTACATACTAATTACTAATTCATCTTCAAATTCTGTAAGGAAACTAAAAATCTTTATTCAACCACACCAGATATGGAAAGATTTCTTTTCCTTTTCCTTTCTCTATTTAGGTATGTAATTAGACCTCGATTAGTATTTGTTTGGTGAATGAAAACTCTCTTAGTGAACAATGCCATATTTATTTCTTAAAGCTGTGATTGCTCAGGATCTAGGATACTCAATTTTTATTTGGATGATTATTACTATTATTTAAACATTTGCAAGGCTAGTTTCTTCCTAATTCAGTCTAATGCACATGCAGTACATTTGGATATGACCATTCTGTGGCATGAATTGCTTGTCTAGCCAGCATCTACTTTCTCATCGTCTGGTAGGAGTTCTTTATTTGTGTGTGACACTGGGATAGGGACATGATGTGGGACACAGTGTAGCACAGAGCTGCCAGGGATCACAGCAGAATAGGATTTCCTTGATTTCAGAGCTCATCACAAGGAAAGCAGACTTTTATAGCATTTACTGCCCTATCTTTGAGCATTGCAATTGTGTGCACTAAATAAACCTGTTAAGAGTTGTACTTCTGCTGCTTACACCCAAAAGGAGTCATGACTAATGCACACACATCACTGAAGTGAACAGAGTAGACAGAGAAGCTGAGCCACTTGTGTACCTCATAGGCTGAACATCCTTGGGGCTCTACAATTCACTCCAGCAAGAAAATAAGCTCTTCACACTTCAGTTTAAACTTAAGAGTAGTTTTGGTCTAATAGAGTACTGAAATAATTAGGAACCTCTCAAATTAAAGGTCTTGTCCTTAAAAAATAGAAACAAAACAAAAAACCTCAACTGGTTTCAGAAAAGACTACTTCTGAAGACAATAAGAAGACAAAGTACAATTTGGAAAATACTTAGATGTAGCATGTTTTCAACCAGGACAGTCACTTCATGTTGTAGCAGTTTTTTTGCTCATATTTTTTCAAAGCATATTAATATCTATATCATCATTAGATCTTGCCTCAGTCTTCTTTTTCAATAAATGGCCTAACATTTAAAGCTATTTTTCAGAATAAAAACAAACTAGACACATTTTGTGAATAAGTAATCATATATCAGTTTCCTTCTTCTTCTTTTTTTTTTTTTTTTGCTAGTCCTGGAGCTTGAACTTAGGGCTTGGACACTAGCCCTGAGCTTCTTTTGCTCAAGGCTAGCACTCTACCACTTGAGCCACAGCACCACTTCTGGCTTTTTCTGTTTATATGGTACTGATGAATTGAACCCAAGGCTTTGTGCATATAAGGCAAGCACTCTACCACTAAGCCACATTCCCAGCCCCATATGCCAGTTTCTTATAAATAAAACCTCTAATCTTTTTCTTCTCAACTCTTCCTGTCCCTGAAATTTACTTATTTTTCTAATCAGCTCTCTTCTATTCCAACATTAAACAAACAACTTTGACAACAAGGGTTATATCATGGGGGAAGAACATACAAAGGAAACAAAAATATTACATAGTACATTAAAAACAACAGTGACAAAGGTAAAAAAACCTCTTGTGTCCCTATCTTGGGGTTCATTTCGCTTAGCATCATCTTATGTGGTCATATGTACATAGCTTTTTCCAGTGCCCTGCATCTTGTATATACATTTTTCTAATTTGGGGAGGGGAAAAGAAATAACAAAATGCTGAAACAAGGATACTGGTTGACCCATTGTAACAATGAGACTTACAAGACACTATGTTGAAAAGGACCTTTACAACTGGGGGTTGGGGTGGAGTCGGGGAGGTAGGGAGGAAAGGGAGAGTAGGGGACAAACAAAGGAGGGGGTAAGAATGCTCGACAGGAAATGTACTCATTACTTTACTCATGTAACTGTTACCCCTCTGTATAGTATTTCTACAATAAAAAAACATATAAAAACAAATAAACAAATAACTTTGATTTTCCTAGCTGTGGGGAAAGCATGGAGCCTTATCTTCATTATTTTCCTTCTCATTTCTGCTTTGTAACCCTGACTTGACCTTAGTATAGTGCTTTACATCAAAATATTTGTGTGGGGAATACAGGACTGCTTTTGAACTCCAGCTCTATTACTTACTAGCAATGTGACTCTGAACAAATTTCTTCATTTATAAAATGAGGATAATAACAGTATCTGTTTCATGTAATTGTTACAAGTATAATTTTTTTTTGTGCTGGTCTTGGGCTCTAACTGAGGGCCTGGGTACATTCCCTTAGTGTTTTTGCTCAAGGTTGGTGCTCTGCCACTTGAGCCAAATCCCTATTTCTAGCTTTTAGTCGATTAATTAGAGAAAAGAATCTCATGGACCTTTTCTCCCAAGCTGACTTCAAACTGAGATCCTTAGATCTCAGCCTCCTGAGTAGCTAGGATTGTACGTGTAAATCACTGGTACCTGGCTAGTTATGACTATTAAATGAGATATCTGAAAAAGAGACATATAGTAAATAGAAGCTCTTCTTATTTGTTGGCTCAAAGAATGATTTCTGTTAATGTTCCTTGCTATTCCTTCCACACAAAAGGTTAGTAAGACATGGCTATTTGTTTATTGGCTGGAGTCTAAGCTCGAGGAAGATGAAGACTTTTGCTTGTTCATTACTATATTTCTAAGCATCTAATGTATGACTGGCCCATAACAGGTTTCCAATAAATAATAATTTATTGAATGAATCAAAGATTAATTGTATATAAGTAAGGCAAGTATAAGTTTAGTGATATTCTGATATTATGGACAAAGAAACTAAAGTTCATACAGATTTAGTGATTGATCTAAAGTCCCACAGTGATTTAGAGGAGGATTGTAATACAGTTTCTTTTTCTTTTTCCTCTGTGGTTTGTTGTGGGGCTTGAACTCAGGGCCTCGGCATAGTCCCTAAACTCTTTTGGTCAAAGCTAGCACTCAGCCATTTTGAGCCACAGCACTACTTCTAGCTTTCTGGCAATTAACTAAAGATAAGAGTCCCATAGACTGGCTGGCTTTGAACTGTGATCCTCAGATCTCAGCCTCCTGAGTAGCTAGGATTACAGGTGTGAGTCACCAGGACTTCGGTACAGTTTTGTTTTTCTACCTCATCATCTCCTAAGTCTTTATCTCATTATCAAAAAAATTAGATACTTGTATCTTAGTTATTTAACAATGATTTTCAAGGATCAAAAAATGATTTTTTAAAATGCTTTTTATTGTGAAAATACTGTACAGAGGGGTTACAATCACATGAGCAAGGTAATGAGTACATTTCTTATCAAGCACTGTTGCCTCCTCTGTTTTTCCCCTACCATCCCTTCCCTACCATCTCCACAACTACATTCTCCCCCCTCCACCCCCCAAAAAATAATTTTTAAAGGGCAAAACCTACCGTGGTATCCACAGCCTTGACTGTCTCTGTGGGGATGTGCTTTGGGACAGGCTCCTTTTGTGATAGTGTCACGCATCCTGCAGCTCCTAAGGTGATGACTACGACATGGCACCCCCGTTGCAGAAGGATTAAGGCTGCCTTCCCAGCATCTTCAGGGCTGCCCACCATGAGGCCAGTTAAAATCTCAGCCTGGTATGCAACAGGAAAAGAAGCTGATGAAGAGTTAAGTTGGATCTTCTTCCAGCCTTGCTTTTCTAGAAAATGTATTTCCCTCCTTCATCCTAACAACCAATGCATTGAGAACCTTGAAGGATATTAGTGCAGGAAAATAAAAGAGAACAAAATCAGTGACAACCTAAGCTATTCATCAAAGACATTCTTGGGCTGGGAACAGTGCTGCAGCCTATAATCCCAGCACTCCCAGGCAAGATGACTGAGGCCAGATTAACATATATAAGGAGACTGTTACAAAAATCAAACCAAAACAAAAAACCAAGTTATTGAGACAACTGAGAACACTGAATGTAGCCTGAGTCTCAGGTGGCAATATGAAATTATTGATAACTTTCTTAAGTGTGACAGTAGTATTACGGTTCTTCTTAGATGATATGTGGTGAGATATTTTGGGGAAGGTGTATTTTTGGCAACTTACTCTCAACTAAAATATTTGCTTTTACTTAGTTTTCAATAAAAATAACCACAAAAATCCATATTGGGGGGGGTGAGAGGCAAACAAAGCAAAATGTTAATAGCTGTTTTGGTGGACGGCAGTATTCACTGCTCTATCAGCTTTCCTCATATATGACACTTCTCATAAGGGAGAGGAAAGAAGGACCATGACCAATTATGTAGGTATAAAATACACCTGTATAAATTTTGGTAGTGAAGGTTGTCAATCTCCTAGATTCTTCTCATGTTACTGATTGTAACTTTCCATGTGTGTGTACACTACTCATTTTTTTTCTTTGTGTTGAGAAGCTTGAAGCAGAAAAAAGGCCTCCACCACTGACTCTGTGACCTTCCCCAAATGACTTGTAACCAGCTGGTGGCTCATGCCTGCAATCCTCACTACTCAATAAACTTCTAAAAAAAGCCAGAAGTAGAGCTGTGGCTCAAGTGGTAGAACACTAGCCTTGAGCACAAGCTCAGGAACAGCACCTAGGCCTTGTTCAAGCCCCAAGACTGGCATAAAAAAAGTGTCTTTACTGTATTACAATTTTACTGTATGTATAACATTCTAAGAATGGATCTGTCTTGTATTGGCTCTACATATGCCCAAATTAGCATTTTTTTAAAAAATAAAAGGGATGATTCTATAAATCACCAATAAGTATCTGCTTATTCTGAGCTTCAGTTTACCCAGGAGTATAGGGTGCATGAACTTGACAATGTGACTCAAATCGCCAACTTTTGTTTCTACTTTTTCAGTTCAGTTGGCTGAACTGTGAAGCCATCTTTGTAAATAAATAAGTTTTGTATTGGTTATTATTAGAATCATGTCTGCTCAGTTAGTTTATTTTTGGAAACACTGATTACATCTTTTAAAAATCTTTCAAAAACTCCTTAATGAAAAAATTGCTAACCTAAGTAATTATACAAAAAAAAAATCTATGTGTTACCTACCTTTAACATTTTACTTTATTTACTTCTCAATTTTTTCTTTCCTTTTCAGCACCAGAGTTTGAACTCAGAGCCTTGTGCTTGCTTTTAGGCAGTGCTCTATGACTTGAATTTATAAGTTAAATGATAATTTGTATGTATACTATTTAGCAATGTGATTTTTTTCTCCCCTGACATTTGTGTTGGTATGTAGCTAGCTTCCTTTCTTTCTCCGATCTTCAAAGTGTTCCATATAGCAAATGTATTACAGTTTCAACAAAACCTCTTCTCAATTTTTCCCCATACTCCCTGGGCTTTGTGGAACACTGCCATATGAGCCACACCTAGAATTTTTGCTTTTGTTTTTTGAGACAGGTTATCATGCTAACATTGCCTGGAATAGGCATGAACCAAAAGCAGCTGGGGTTACAGGCATGCACCATCACACCTGGTATATATTTTACAGGACATTTTCACATACTTTTGTTCTGAAGATTCATGACCTTTTTCAGTTCTAGAAAACGCACTGTAGTTTTCTCCTTAATATTGCTTCTCTTCAATTCCTCAACATTCTCTTATTTTTTCCATTCCAATTAGATAATTGAAACCTCCCAAGTAATCTTTCTCTAAATTCACCTTCAATAATTCAAAATATTTTTCAGTTTGTACTGCTTTCTTGTTGAAATATTTTTGAAATTACTCATTAGAAAAATAAATATTAGATTGAAATAAAGATTAGCAAATTGAAAGAGAATCTTCATCTGCTCACTAAGAGGTAGAAAATTCAGTTCAACAAGTAAGCAGTGCAAACAAAAATATTTTGAACTATTAAAGGAGCTTTGATTTTTAAAAGTCTCCCCCCCAAAAAAGAAAGGCAACTCAGAACTTAACCCATGCTAAGCATATGCCTTTTCACTAAGCTACACCTCCCCCACCTTTTAAAAAAGTGAATATTGCTCTATGTCAAACTTACATTACTGTTTTTTGGGTACTGGATCTGGGGCTTGAACTCAGGGACTGGGCTGTGTCTCTGAGCTTTATTGCTCTAGGCTAGTGCTCTACCATTTGAGCCACAGATCTACTTCTGGCTTTTTGATGTTTAATTGGATATAAGAGTCTCAGACTTTCCTGCCTGGTCTTGTTTTGAACTATGATCCTCAGATCTTAGCCTCCTGAATAGCTAGAATTATAGACATGAACTACTGGTACCTGGCTTACCTTTTTGCATTGTCTTATTATTTGAATTTTCTTTTGGTCAAGTTCATATTTAGACTATTCACTAAATTTCATAACATTACATGTCTTCACTTGCTCATTGGGAGTATGAGAGTCTCCACACTTCACCTCCTACCTGGCCTATCCTTGTCTTTTTAGTGTTTTTAAAGTCCCATCTACCAATCTACCAGGCCCCTAAGGATCTCTGGACCAGAGCCATATAATATACTGGTCACATATAATTCTTGCTCTGCTGTTATTGGGGATCTTGCCAATGTGGCCAAGTCAGGTTGATTTATTTTTGGACATACTATCGCTTTCTATTTCCTATTTAGCCTCAGGTAACAAGGTAGCATCTTCTTCCATATTTTATTATTGTGTGAGCCACACACAGCTCAGCTCAGCATAGGTTTCTAGAAGTTGTGCTGCTTACCACTCATGAGTGGTGTACTTTTAGTGTCCCATAGGAGGCACTTCTTACTAACTATGTCTTAATCCTTGGTGTTCGTGTATGGCCATCAATGGATCAGTAATTATGAAAGTGTTAACATTTTAAAAAATCTGTGGAGAGATTTATCTTACTTTTGAATTTGTATCTTTTTTATATTTATATATCTGTTGTTTAGAGTTTACAGCTGAGGCAGTATCTTAAACATGATTTTACATTATTTACATGAATTGTTTCAATTTGCCCATAAGAATGTTGAAAGTTTAATTTTTTTTCTCCCTAGGCATTAGAACAAGTTTATGATACAGCATCTTGCTGCTAAGCTGATTTTTGAATAGCAATAAAATAATCAAGACATTTTTCCTGCTTTTATTTCTTGATTAAGCTTTTTTAAAAATGTCTTTCTACTCTTTATTTCAAGTATGTGGACATTTACACTAAGTTCATTTTATTCTTGAGGTAACTTGAGGGAATGGGTCTAAAAAGCAAACTGACACATTTAAACAAACTTCTACAAGCTTAAATTACCAATATGATGTTACTCCAAATTTTTTCCCAATTTTTATGAATATAAAATAATGTATTCTTAAATAGGTATACCTCCTGATCCTTGTTCTTTAACATCCATTTTTAGATTTATTTCCAAGTAGCAAGCTACTCAGATCACTGTATTTCCATTTCTGTACCATGCTCATGAATTGAATAGTTTTATGATTCACTCTTAGGCGGATAAATTTTTGAGACTGACTTAATTAAAGATCAGATCATTTATAAAATAAGCATTTATTAGTTGCCAACTGTGTGCAGATATAGTGTGGATGATACTGTTTTCTAAAGATAACTACTAACATATCTCAATCATCCATACTTTTTTTGTTTTTGTTTTTTTTTTTTAAACTTTTTTTTTTTTTTGGGTCCGGTTGTGGGGCCTAAACTCTGGGCCTGGGCGCTATCCCTCAGCTCTTCAGCTCAAGGCTAGCATTCTACCACTTGAGCCACAGCGCCACTTCGGCTTTCTTCTTTTTGCTTATGTGGTGCTGAGGAATGGAACCCAGGGCCTCGAGCATGCAAGGCAAGCGCTCTACCACTGAGCCACCTTCCCAGCCCCACTTTTTTTGTTTTTAACACTGTGACAATATAGTCTTTTACTGATTGATGTGATACCAGAGTAGAGCTTTCTGCTTCAATAGGGTAGATGCAGTGTGACTTTCAAAGCGAAGTCATATAGTCTAACATAGCTTCTTCCTGTTGCTTTCTCTTGGAATGCTAGATATGGGAACCCAGCTACCATATTGCAAAGAGGCATGGACCACAGTGTGACTATATGTAAGTGTTCTGGCCAACAAGCCCATTATACCTCAGGCCAACAGCCAGCACCAACTATCAAGTATATTAGTAAAGATTTGAGATAATTCTATTCCTCAGACTGAGTCTTCCACCCAAGGTCCCAGCCAAGGACAAACCACGCAGTTCCTGTCTAAATTCCTGATGCATAAAACTGAGGACAGTAGTAATTGTCTTTTAATTCCCCCAGTAGTAATTGTTCTTTTAATTCCCCAAGTTTTAGAGTAATTTTATTTATTTTTAAAATTTCTTTTCTTTTCTTTCTTTTTTTTTGGGGGTCCGGTCGTGGGGCCTGAACTCTGGGCCTGGGAGCTGTCCCTTAGCTCTTCAGCTCAAGGCTAGCGCTCTATCACTTGAGCCACAGTGACACTTTGGCTTTTTTCTTATGTGGTGCTGAGGAATCGAACCCAGGGCCTCATGAGCCACCTTCTCAGCCCAGTTTTAGAGTAGTTTTTTATGCAGGATAGACGATTATGTCAAAAGGGATAGACACTGAAGATACAATAATGAATATGATGATGTCATGTCCTTATAGAACTTGTAATGTGATGAGAAGATAGACGAAACTGAATAAATAACTTGGTTATGCTGACTGACTGGAGAATAAACAGAGTTTAAAAAGTATCTAGCAAGGAAATCTGAGCCAGTTTGGAGGTTGGGGTAATCTAACCTATTATTGTGAAATGGTCACTGTCTTCCACAATTCCTTTTTCCTAGCCCAGCACTGGCCATGATGGTTGCTCAAAAATATTTCATAACCTATTGTGGTTTTTTAACATTAGTTTCCATATCGTTGTCTTCTTTTTGTGTGTTCTCTCTGTAATGAGAGATGAAACTATCAAGAAAAGAGGTCAAGAAATCCTAGAAATCTTCATTCATTCAGAGTCAAATGAAAAATTAACCATTACAGTTCATTGATTACTTTCTCTTAAATGTACTTTTCTCTCAAAATTTTTTTTAATTTAAAGGTGATATATACAGAGGGGTTAGAGTTACATAAGTAAGGAAATGAATACAATTCTTGTTGAACATTGTTACCCCCTCTCCCACTCTCACATGTTTCTTTCGCTGATGTGTATAATGTCTAGGTCCCAACTATAGGAGTGAGTTCTAGGGTAATGTTGTGTGCCATATTGAAAGAGAGTAAATTTTTATTTATAAAAATTATTTTAAAGCCAGGCCCAGTGTCTTACATCTATAATCCTAGCTCCTCAAGATGCTGAGGTCTGAGGATTGAAATTTGGGAATACCAATTCATAGACTCTTGTCTCCAATTAACCAGCAAAAACTTGGAAGTGAAGGTTTGACTCAAGTGGTAAAAAGCTAGCTGTGAGTCAAAGAGCTAAGCAAAAAGCTGAAAGTGTGAGGTCCTGTTTGACCCCACAGTACTGGGGTCAAATAGAAATACTTATAAAAGTATTTTACAGAAATACTTTAAATATTTATAAAAGTTTAGTCCAATAATATCAGTGTACTGATAGATATTGTATATACATTATGACTCTCAGATGGACTAAGATGCTGCTCTGCTTGTGCAGGGGCCTCAAGTCTTTTCTGTGGCATCAGTGGAGAACCTGTATCATCTACCAGTCCGTCACAGGAACTGTCTAATACAAGATAGTAGTCCTTATATTGTAGTCTATTTAATATATTATATATTGATGACCTGAAATTTAAATTAAACTGGACATTTTGTATTTTTAAAAAAATTTAGTTTTCTTCAAATTATCTGTAAGGAGTTGTACAAAGAAGTTTCAATTCAACATGTTAGTTTATGAGTACAATGCCTCCTGATCAATGTCACTCCTTTATTTTTATTTACTTAATTTGGTAACCCTATATTAGTTATTCCATAGAATGTGAAATAATCTAAAAACAAACACCAATAGTGTGAGGTCTGTGAATGGGCTAAAATGGACTATACCTTGGTAAGTACCAGAGAAAAAAGACTCTCTTAGTAACTACTCTGACTCTGGGACTTACTATTCCATAACACAATAAAGTGAGAAATTGGTTTTCTCTGAATTCACATGTAACCAAATTGATATGGTTAGTCCTGGTTCTTTGCTTTATCCACTTAAGTCTTTTGGCTTGTCATAGAGTGACCAAACCAGGCTATCCATACCTCACTTTCATTGCAGCAGAACACATCTGAGAGGCTATAGAACTGGGGATCCAGGTCAGCGATGGCAGGAGCTGGATTGAACAATGTTTTCACTATGGAGGAATGAGAAAGAGGTTTGGTACTTATTGGTTTTAACATGATGTATTTGCATAGTTAGTAGGAGAAATCCGAGTGCAGTAATTTTCACATTCATCAGTTAAATATCAACTTAGTTACAGACATAGAGAAACCCTATCTCCATGATAGCCCAGTATCAATTCCTTTTTATTTCCATTTCTTCTGCTTTTCACTTTAGAATATTTCAGTTTTGAAGGCAAACATTAATAGTTATAACCAAGGTGATTATAGAGTTAAGGCAAGGACAAGACTATAAAAGTATAATAAGGGTGTTATAGCATGAAAGAACAAGTAAATATGAATAAGTTGGTGACCATTTTTGTGGGTTACTTCAAGTAATATATATATATATAATGTATATATATTATCCTGTATATCCATTAACAATTATGCCAATACATATGCACAAAAGCTTATATTTTCGGCTTTTGTAAACAATCTTGGAGCATTAAAAAAAAAAGGCTGTAAAAGGAAGAGAAATTTAAGCAGAGGCCGAGTATTAGCCAAGACCAGGTAGCTAACAAGGATGGATAGGGATAGTAAAAATAGGGAAAGAAGAATATCATAGCCCTTTCAGTCACAGAGAGGTATATTTTTCACAGGAGAAAAGAGAGGTGCAGAGAGATGAGGTCATGTGATGAAGGTCATACCCTGTGACATAGGTGATGCTCTCCTAAGCTCTTGGGCCTTAAGTTCAGAGTTAGGCCCTCTTAACAATAGCAGCTTCTCTACATCTGGACTCTGTCTATTACAACACATCTATCTATCCCAATCCAATGTAAACCACACATACTATTACTGTATTTTAAAGTCTTTAGAAATTACATTTGCAGGAAGTACCATCTTTGTCCTAACACTTATCTATCAGTACTCAAGTAGATTTGGCTGGTCCTTTTTTCTCAACTTGGGTCCACGGACTCACATGTTAAATAATCTCATGTGACTACAGACCCACAGAGGAAAATCCCCTATCAGCTATTCTTAGAGACTCTTCCAGAACAGTGGTTTATAAACTTTGTTACACATCAGCATTACTAGAATAGCTTATTCAAATGCATGATTTCTGGGCTCCCACTTCAAACCCACTGAACCTCTGTGGGTAGGGTTAAGACCAAGGAATCTATCCACTTACAAGTTCTCCAGGTGGCTCTCACGTGGCTAGCCTGGCAGTGATACATTCTATATGGCTGATGGAGGCAATCCATGACTGCAGTATGGTGAGGCTATCTAGTCTACTTCTTCATCTTCCTAGGTCTTACTTAACATTTTGGTTCAGTCAGTGGTCTTGTCTAGTACATATTAATACTATTCCCACATTTTTGTTTAGAATGCACAATGTCCACCCACAGAATTTCTATGGTATGTATTTTGGCTGCTCAGGTTTTTGCATGCGGCTATTAGCAGCTGAAATTAGAAAATTGATGCAAAAACCCTGTGTAAACTGTAAGTGTTGTATAAATGTAAAGGATTATTACTGTTATTATACTGTCCCTCACACAGCCCAGCACCCCCGCGTGTCCACCCATCTTTCTGCAGGAGTATGTAGCCTGGCAACAATCTCACTGGGCACAATACTGGGTTTGGTCACAGAAGGTATGGACTAATGAGTTGGGATACAGATGAAACAACATTGGCTATGTCTTGACAACTACAGAAGCTAAGCAATAGCATGTATCATTTAACTTATGATATTATTTTCTATATGTCCTTGATGGAAAAGAACTAAAGTGGCACTAAAAGATAATTTGTATCATATTTTGGTGATCTTCTAATCTCAATTATTTATAATTGTTCTTTTAATGTTCTATTTGCTTTGAAATGGATATAAACACAAGAATCAACATGTATAATTTCATCAAAAACAGCTGGAGCATTAGCTCTGTAGGGGATCTACCTCTTTCTATACGGTGGCCTAGTGGCAATGGGGTCCGTAAAGAGACACTGATTTTTAGATGTAGGTGCTATCTCTAATACCAATGCTTTCATTTCAGTAAAGACAGGATGAGAATTCTGAGATAGTGCATTCAAAGATGGAAGGAACTTTTTCCTTGGTATTTTAGTAACTGGTAAATCATCTAGCTAAGCAATGTGTTTAATTCAAGTTTACTACTTCTAATTAGAAAAGATAAGGGAGCTGTGGCAATATAAACTCAGAGGTGGTGTTACTGCTTTACTTGAAGACACAGTAATGCTGATTAGCACATATGTTGTCTCATCTGCCTCATTGGCAATGGGCAAAAAATGCTCAACAGGTTATTTGCTTTGTGATCTGCCTATGGTGACATCAATGGGATTTGAAAGTGCTCATCTCTATTCTTGTTTCATAGAAGAACACAAATAAGTCTAGAGAAACATAAGACTGACCAGTATTGGTCTATAGAAACAAGTCATGGAGCCTGGTGCCAGTGGCTCACGACTGTAATCTTAGCTACTCAGGAGGCTGAGATCTAAGGATCGAGGTTCAAAGCCAGCCCGGGCAGGACAGACCGTGAGACTCCTATCTCTAATAAACCACTAGAAAACTGGAAGTGGTGCTGTAGCTCAAGTGGTAGAGTGCTCGCCTTGAGCTGGAGAGTGCAGGGACAGCGCCCAGGCCCAGAGTTCAAGCCCCACGACTGACAAAAACAAAAAACAAACAAACAAAAAAAATAAGTCATGGATTTTTTTGACTGATGTTCCCTATATGCTAAGTGACTGATTCTTATTCAAAGCCATTCTTCATAGTTCCCAAACAAGTGCTTCTCCTTTCTTTATAGCATTTTTTATTCATCTGGGAATGCACACACACACACACACACACACACACACACACACACAGAAGACACACACACACACACACACAGAAGACACAGACACACACACACACACACTTACTTCTATAGTGTAGAGTCTAAATTGCATCTGACTGGTATCTACCAAATAAGATCTAGTTGATCTACTAGAGAAAGCTGCCTGAGGGGTAGTTCTGGACAGAAGTGGGATTGTGCAAATGTGCTTGTGTGTATTGAGTGTGTGCTACAGTGTCATGTGTGGGGACATATTGCTGGAAATGTTCTGGGGCTTCTCTGTTTCTGAAACAGCCAAAACACACATGATGGATAGCATTAACTTTTAACATTTATTTTTCTCTAGATACTCTTCATGAAGGCTCAATTCCTTGACACCAGTGGCATGTGGCACTTTGTTTTGAAGTGGGGTCTAGGAACAGCCCTTTGGCATGGAGTCTGAAATCCTGTCATGATATTTGCCAAACCACTAACTTAATCTGTCTAAGACTCAGTCTCCTCACTCATTTCCAATCTAAGAGAACAATGCGTATCTATCTTGTGTATGTGTGTGTGTGTGCACGCGTGTGAGTTGTGGGGCTTGAACTCTGGGCCTGGGTGCTGTCCCTGAGCTCTTTAGCTCAAGGCTAGTGCTCTACTACCTGGGCCATAGTACCATTTCTGGTCTTCTGGTAGTTAATTGGAGATAAGAGTCTCATGGACTTTCCTTGTCTGAGCTGGCTTTGAACCTTGATCCTCAGATCTTAGCCTCTTGAGTAGCTAGGATTATAGGTGTGAGCCACCGACACCTGGCCTATCCTATTTTTGACACAGATGTTTGAAGGATCCAAGAAAGAACTTTATAAATGTAACATATCACTTCTTCCAACATTAATATATAGTATCTCTCCTTATCTATGTTTTTGTTTTTTTTTATAGATTCATCACAGATTCAACCGGGTTCTGAAAATATTAAATGGAAAATTCCAGAAGTAAAAAGTTCACAAATTTAAAATTGCACATCATTCTGAGTCATCCGATGGGATCTTATGCCATCCCACTCCATTCCATGTGGGACATGAATCATCATTCTCTCCAGCCTGCCCACTTTATGTATACACTGCTGGTGTTAGCCACTCAGTGGCCGTCTTACTTATCAGATCAGTTGTTTGGGTACTGCAGTGCTTATGTTCAAGTAGCCCTTATTTTTCTCAATAATGATTCCAAAGTGCAGGAGTTATGAGACTGACAATTCAAGATATTCCAAAGACAATTAAGTGTTTCCTTTAAATGAATTTTGTTTACTTAGTAAGATAAAAATGAATCTTCAATCCATAAAGTGGTCAAAAAGGAAAAAGAAAATTGTGCTAAATTTATTAAAGCTCAAATTGCAAAGGTTATAGTGAAAATGTGTGGTAAATACTTAGTTAAGATGGAACAGATCCTAAATTACAGAGTTCAGTGCTACTGGAAATTTAAGTCATTTACTGTGGGTTTTGGGACAGATCTCTGATAAGAAGGAAATACTACTATATAGGAAAGCTCATGTTGAATCTGACACACTGCTCTTAGCAAAAAATGTGAAGGAGGCTGTGTGGCCTATGATCCATCTCTGCCTAACCTTCTTAATTTCTTCAAGTGGCAGGTGACAGAGGAAGCATCGCTGCATTCTACCCAAATGACATGCCAAGTCAGGGGGCCTGTCACATCAGTATTATTCTGACCTCACCTGTGAAAGGTTAGCTCCTCATCTGTGGTGGCTGTACTTTCCTCTCCTCCATAAGCTGGGTAGGTAACAGGTAACTAGACTAGGACAGAAGAAACAGCATTTTCTGAGAAGCTAGGGACAGTAGGAAAAAAGATGTTACATGAGATGATCTACACAAAGAGAGGCAGAAGCAAGCGTAGAGAGGCATGCTGTATTCACATTACCCAACTGAGATGGGTGAAGTGCAGAAAATGCTTACCAGGAGCATTAGACTCTATCTGTGTGACACTTTTGAGAAAATGTAACCAAATAGATTTTGGCTTAGAATTCTTTCTGACAGCTTTGAGTCCATTAAAAATACAGTAAATGTCAGTGAGAATTTGCCATGGCATGTTGTTTTGCCAAGAGGAAAATTTGTTAAATCAAGATGCACACTGTAAAACTCTCCACAAAATCACTTCAGTGATTTATTTTCCATTTATTGCTCTACAGAACACTATACATTTGAGAGAAATCACTTATATAGTGCAAACTTACCCACGGGGGTTGGGGGGGTGAGGTGGGGGGGTTTACCCACTATACACATACTCTGTTCTTTTTCTTCTTTTCTAGTTTTTAATCTTGCCAGTGAAAGTTTTATCTGGAAAAGTCAATATGATTCTCTATTTTTTCTTATAAGTTATAGAATTAATGCTACAATATCTATTAATGCCACAATAAGCTATTCTTATATTGGCTACTTTTTGTTTTGACCAAATAGTGCTAGGTTAAGATAATTGTTGTTTTGAGATAGTCTCACTATATATCTCAGACTGACCTTGAACTTGCTATGTAGCTGTGGATGGTTTGGAACTTGTGGTTTTCCTACTTCTATCACCTAAATGCTGAGATTATAGTTGTGTGCCACTGTGCTCATCTATCAAAACTTTAAGGAGAGAGAAGAATTTACTGGTGCATATTATAATGTGCCTGGTATCATATTTTACAGGTTCAGAACTACCTAATTGTGTTATGACCACAAAGCTAGCAAGGGATTCTAACTAAGAAGATGCTTTTTCCACTAGGCAATATAAAGAAAAAAATAATGAACAAAAAACTACTTGACTTTAAAAATGGTGTTCATGTGTTAATTTTCTGGGAGTTAGAAAAGGAGAATCTGTGGGAAAACAGATGAATTAAGATTAGTGGTGATCACTGTTGGGTGATGGGTCTTATCATATAGTTCTGCTTCCCTTACTGGTTTGAAAATTCCCAAAGTCAGAGGCTGAACATAAGAGTTACTTAACAGACATTGACAACATAAAATTTTTTTTACATATAATTATTTTTGTTTCTTGAAAAGATGATAAGTTTTGCAAAAAGGAAAGAGAACAAATCATTGATCCTAGAGATGTTTATTAAAGTATAGCTGGCAGTGATTGGATATCACATACAGTTTAACCTTTGTTTCTCAAGATGTAACACTCACTGTCTAGGGTGTTACCTTGGACAATGGCCTGCTTCACAGAGTCTGTTTAAGCTCTGTATCATTTCTGTTAACTAGATTACAGATTTAGAATTTAGGGATATTGGATATGCTACTCATGTTATTTTTTACCCTATTTGTAAGTTTTTCTAACATTATCAAGAACTATAACACAGTGAATCTCACAGATGGAAGAAAGAATATTTTACTACACAGTATTGCTAAACTTGAAAGGTTAACTTTAATTAAGATAGTGATAAAAGCTTTTACATAAAAAATGACAAATATGTTAAATTACCTCCATTGCTGTGGGCCATTGTCAGGGCTTCCAAAGAAGTTGCTGGAGTTATTTCTAGTTGGCAGATCATTACTTTGGCTCTGCTAATGACATTGGCTGCCTCCTTCAGATCGTCAGTATTCAAAAGTAAATTTGCTCCAGCCACTATGACGATGATATTCTGGCCTATAAAGAAATGCTACATATTTATATGATAGCCAGACAAAGCCAAGTGATGTTATTCTGCAATGTTACAATCATCTTACAGAGTCATTATACAAAATGTGTTGTATTAATTTTAAAATTTCTAGGGCATCTAGGTCCTGAATTATGTTTTCAATATTGCTGAGATTAGAAATATTCTGATTTCTTTCTCCTCATCTCTTCTTCCTCCCTCCCTCCCTCCCTCCTTCCCTCCTTTCCTTCCTTCCCTTTCCCTCCCTCCCTCCCTTCCTTCCTTTCTTCTTTCCTTCCTTCCTTTCTTCCTTCGTCTCACTATTTTGTCCAGGCTGTGCTTGAACTCTGGGCCTGAGCACTGCCCCTCAGCTCTTCAGCTCAAGGCTAGCACTCTACCACTTAGCTACAGTGCTACTTCCAGTTTTCTGGTGGTTTTTATTGGAGATAAGAGTTTCATGTAGTTTCCTGCCCGGGCTGGCTTTGAACCGTGATCCTCAGATCTCAGCCTCCTACGTAGCTAGGATTACAGGCATGAGACACCAGAGCCCGGGTTCTTCTTCTTCTTTTTTTTTAAAAGGAGACAGTCTCACTATTTTGTCCAGGCTGGTTGAGAATTCCTGGGTGAAAGTCATCCTTCTGTCTCTACTTCCCAAGTAGCTAGGGCCAGAGGAATATACCATTATGCCTAGTTTATTCTAATTATTTCAGGAAAAAAAATTTATTTATATTTTTGTACATAAAAATAATAATTGAGAAATTATGTTTTTTTTGTAAATTATAATCTGTTTTTAAGATTTATTTTATGGAAAATGGCTAATACAATGTACATATTAAAGACCTTGAATTCTAAATGAGAGATACAGATATGAGTACAAACAGGAATAAACCTGTATAATACTAAAAACTAATACTCTATAGTATACAAACAGTTCATGTTAGTGTCCAAGGTACTCTATTATGTTATTCTGTTCATTGAAACATTATATTTAGGAGATCTGACAGAAAATATACTAGGTAAGGTGTAGAGAGCTGCGGGAGCCGCGACCAAAGACGGCTGCAAAAGCAAAAATGGCAGGGCCGTGTGGTGCGGCTGCAACCTAAGATGGCGCGGGCTTCCGCCTTCCGTCTTCCTCTCATGGCGCTTCAGGATTGGCCATCCAGGAGGCTTATTACCGGAGCGCGGGGGCAGATGGGGAGGAGAAGCAGGAAGAAACAGGAAGAAGCGGGCAGGAGAGAAGCAGGAAGAAGAAGGAAGAAGTGGGCAGGAGAGAAGTAGGAGAAAAGAAGCTGTAAACAAGGTCCTGAATAAACCGTCTGAAAGAAGGACCTGTTGTCGCCTCATCCTTGCGGGTCGAGGCGGTCGCGACAGTAAGGAAGAGAGAAGGATACTTGCTTATAATGTATCAGACCAAACAGAAAACATAGGACTAAGGAATCTGATATTCTTGGTATACTTGGACCCACTCTAGCCCTTAGATACTTATATAGAGTCTAAGGTGGTAATGTATCTTATCGGTCAGGTGACCTCTTTTTTTTTTTTTTTTGGTTGGTCCTGGGGCCTGAACTCTGGGCCTGTGCACTGTTTCTTCATCTCAAGGCTAGTGCTCTATCACTTGAACCATAGCACCACTTCCGGCCATTTCTACTTATGTGGTGCTGGGGAATCGAACCAAGGGCCTCATGCATTCCAGGCAAACACTCTACCACTAAGCCACCTTCCCAGCCCTTGGTGACCTCTTAAGAGCTATGTTGTCCAACATGGTAGTCACAATAGCAAGGTAATTATCAAACACTTGAAATACAGCTATTCTGAATGGAGATTTGCTTCAAGTATAAAAATACACAGTGGATTTCAAAGATAGTATGAAAAAAGGTAATAAAATAGCTTATTAATTTTTCAGCAACATCTAAAATGCTAATTTTAAAACAAAAGTTAATTACATGTTGAAATGTTAGACTCTTAGATATACTAAGTTAAATAAATGCATTGTCAAAATTAGATTTACTTGTTTCTTTTTACTTTTAGAATATGACTACTGGACAATTTAAAATCCCACATGTGGCTTGATTTTCTTTTCCTTTTCTCATTTTGTGTGTGTCCTGGGGTTTCATCTCAGGGGCTAGGCATTGTCCCTAAGCTTTTTCTGTTCAAGGCTAGTACTCTACCACCTTGAGCCACAGTGCCACTTCCAGTTTTCTGGTGGTTTACTAGAGATAGGAGTCTCATGGACTTTCCTGCCTAGGGCAGCTTTGAACTTCAATCCTCAGGTCTCAGCCTCCTGAGTAGCTAAGATTCCTTTTATAGGCATGAGCCATTCGTGCCCTGCTTTAGCTTTTTGTTCTCAAGTCTACTGCTCTTCTACTTGAGACATAGCTGTACTTCTATTGCTTAAATTTTACTTCTACAGGGTAACATTGCAGGAATGAGTTACAGCAGGCTTTTTTTGTGTTCCAGGCTACTCATGCTGATCTTGTATAGACATGACCTAAAATTACCTCTCAACATGGAACAAATTCTAGCCTATCATCTTACCACAGATGTGTTTGTTGGCCATGTGGAGGACTTAATAGAGTAGGGATGGTTCAGCATAAACTCAACCTCAGTCCTGGAAAAATTCAAAGTATCCACTTGCTGAAAGACAGCATCTCTATTTCTTTTCTCCATCAGTGACCTCATTCTCTCGGCTGGAGTCACTACAGACTAAATCTGCATTCCTAGACTGACCTTGGCTGCTGAGCAATGTGCCCAAGAGTATAGCTATAGCTGTCGGTGGACCAAGTCATGTGGCTGGTTTGCTCATGCCGCTGGTTTAACTTGTCAAAATGGCATTCTGTGTGTATTCTCCCCTCACTTAAAGGAGTTGACTGTCCCATCTTTTTGTATTTGTCCTAGCACTTTTACAATTTATGCTCTTGAAGGCATTACCATACTATGAACTAAGCAAAGTCTACTATAATAGGCACATGATATATGTTAAATAATACCTTTGTATGGAAAAATGTAGATTTTGTTTCACTGGTAAGGGAGAAAACCCTTAGAATAAAATATGAAGTTTAAGACAAGAAATGAGTGGCTGTTGACATTATTCATTACTTATGACATGACTTAAAGTGACACAGATTTTCTATTATTACAACAAAAACTTCACTTTTTTTTGTGGTGGTACTGGAGTCTGAACTCAGGGCCTCAAGTTTGCTGGGCAGATGTTCTACCCATTGAGACAAGGCCTCCAGCAGAGTGAGTGTGTGTGTGTGTGTGTGTGTGTGTGTGTGTGTGTGTGTGTGTTTGCGTGTGTACTTTTTGTTTAAAGAACAGACAAAATTGATACTGACAATAAGTTAAATGCAATTAGTTGCTGCATTTGCTTAATAAATGCTCTATGAATAAGATTCATCAAACCTTGTTTTGCAGTTATTTACATGTCTTTACTTAGTGTAATGGAAATGACATACATATTTGACTACTTTTAGAGAAAAATCGCAATTCTGAGTTGACATGGAAGGTAAAGGGGTTATTATGGGATATAAATATTTTTGTAGGCAACTATGCTGCTTCCTATATGTCAGATGGACAATTTTATATTTAATGATCAACATAGGTAGTATAAGTTATTAGAAACATTTGTATTGGGGTTAGAAAAGTCACACTTTAGGGTCTGGCAAGGAGGTTGGTAGGAATAGGGTAAAAACTAGTTTTGGAAACAATCTGTTTCAGGAAATGGCACTCCAATATGTGAAACACATACCTTCATTATTGACAATTATAGAAGCAGCTCCTGTAGCAGCATCGTTAGTCTGATATGTAAATTCTACAAGAAAAAAAATTAAAATCATGTACATACAGCCTGGCAGGGATAACTTATTTTAACAATTTCAATGTGATATTAATTCTTGGAAAAACTTTTTAACCTTTAACCATCTGGAAAAAGTTAAAAAATAAGGAATTAGTGCTAATTTATACCTATCACCTATACAATGAGGAAAACTGGCATCTTTACATTTAGTGGCACCTTTTCTCTGCATTAGTAACAACTCATCAAACCACCCTAACTTGCAGTCGCTCCAAATTATTCGTAGTTGTATACATAAGCACGTTTTGATACCAACTTATTTATATTTTCTATCAAAAGAAATGACAGACTTGACATATAAAAACAAAAGGTTAAGCATACAAAATAAACTGATTTCTCAAACTTCCATCTCATCAAGAACTATGGTTCCCTTTGTAAATAGCAATGCTAATCAGGCAGCCTTGGACAGCACCAAAGTGCTCAGACTAGAGTCAAAAGATCTGCCTTCTATTCCTGACTAACTAGCTATATGTGCTCAGAAAAATCACAGAACTTCTGTGACCCTCAATGTTCTCTTCTGTGATAATAATCCAGTCTTGGGGCTATAATATTCAATGACTTTTCTTAAATTATCTTTTGGAAATGCAGGTATGTTATCATTCATCACATATACATGACTTGAAGGTTTGTAACCTTCCCATCTGGAAGAATGTGTGTGAAAGGATTACCAGAGGACATTCAAGCAAGATCAGGCAAAGCTATGTATAAAATTTCGCTGGGTGTTAGGTAGGACCTAATAATTCTGTTCTGTGTTAAATTTCTCTTGTAAGAAGATGGATCACAGAAGAAAGTATAAACATTAACTTTAAAAATATGAAGTTTTACCTGTAGAAATACCATTCTGTTTTAAGTTTTCTATATAATCATTGCCAAAAGAATCTTTGCCAACCTGTACCAAAGAAATGATGAATATTAGATCTTTTACACTTAGAAAAATGCTACAATTTGGTTTTTAGAATAGTTAGCATTTTAAAAGGGCACATCTGCCCAGTACTTTATAAACATTAACTAATTAATCTTCTTAATCTAAGATGTTAGGCTTGATTTCAACCCAAAGAATTGTTATATACTGTATTAATGTTTTACTTATATCCTATTGAAAATGTGAAGCAGTTAATGATGGCCACAAAGCCATAGTTTCATTCTCCCTTTGATCTATTTCTTTAATAATTTCTATTGAGGTAGAACTGTTCACAATGATCAAGCTTCAGTATTTAGGAAGAATATGTGTTCATACTTCATTATAAACAAGAGCAATAATTTCTTACTAGCAGAATTAAAAATAAAGAACATTCAACAGGAAGTGTTGTCATGGAGAGTAGTTTCTCTTGAAAGGGGCTCATGGACCAAAGGTTTTCCTTAAAGGAGGTGGGCTAATTATTTGGCAGGTAAGTACAAGTGTATCCAATTTTGCAGGCCAATTATCCAACTAGAAGCAGTTCTTTGCTCCCTCTTTATCTTTTCTTTTGAAAAAAGGTTTCACTATGTAGCCTAGGCAGCCCTTGAAGTCCCTATCCTCCTGCCCAACCCTCTTGAGTGCTGGGATTATAGGCTTGCACCTCACAGGGCTTCTTCCATTTTCCTCCCTCTATTACTGGTAATTAAACCCAGGGTCTTGTGAATTCTAGGCAAACACTACCACTGAGTTATATTCTCAACCCTCTTATCTTTTATAACATTTAATTCTTTTCCAAAAGCAATCAAAGCATTACACATTTGAGAAAACATACACATATTGTAGAGATTAAGAAAAGGCCATTCCTAGACTTGTAGGGTCTGATAGAAATCAGAAAATGAAATTTCTCTTCCTTCTATTGTAATATTATGCAGGCAAAGTCTGTCAAAGGTGAACATCAAGTGCAGCCCTGATAAATGGAGGTGATAATATACAGATTAGAAAGAGTAAGGATTAGGAAGAATTGTTGTGGCAGAGAAAATGTTAATTTCAAGGGATAATAAGAAACAGAAACAACCATAAGACTAAGTAGCATCAGAGGTATAATTAGGAAGGGATTTTATACTTGAGGAATTGCATTTTGGATGCCAGCTGCAGTTGTATTCCAGAGTCTGCCATGGCTATTTTGATCAGGGAATTACTAGATTGGCTGTAGCCCCTAGTGATGGTTATAGTTCCAGCCTTATTCTAATTGGGATTTCCAAAAATGTGTCTTTCTGGCCTTCTAAACTGTATGTGACAAGTGGAAGAATAAAGTTTGCTTTTGCTGTCGTTGACCTTGTTAAAAGTAAAAATCTAGTACCTAAAGGGATAATGGAAAATTAATCATACTGCTAAGGAATAAGAGATGTCAACTCTAGCTCCATTAACATTGCATTAGGTCATAGTGGTATACTAGAAAAAATAAAAGAAACACTAAAAAGACTAAAAACAGAAAGTATGATTTTAGGGAAGTCATGTAACTTGCATCCGTAACAGGAAAGTTCCAGCAAGTTTTCTCTAACAATAAAATAAATTCCATGAATGCACATTGGTGGCTCATGCCTGTAATCCCAGCTACTCAGGAGGCTGAGATCTGAGGATCGTGGTTCAAAGCCAGCCCGGGCTGAAAAGTTCCCAAGAGACTCTTATCTATAATTAACCACTCAAAAAACTGGAAGCAGAGCTGTGGCTCAAGTGGTAAAGTGATGGCCCTGAGTTCAAGCCCTACAACTGACAATCAACAACAACAAAAAAGTGTAAAGGATTAAGTAAGGCTTCAGTGCTATCTTTCTCCTTTTCCACAAGGCTGTAATTGGCTGTAACTCTCAGGGAAAGAGGCAGGGCTGCTTGGATTCAATCTTTTTTTTTTTTTTTTTACTTTTTGTGGGCCTGATGCATACTAGACAAGTGTTCTATTGAACTACATCTCTCACTCTATTAAATTCTAGTTTCTTTTGGGCTCCCTATTTTTGCACAAAAAAGTCGAAACACGTGCATAGGTATTTTGGGGATTGGATTCGTCTTCTTATTCTAATGCAACATCTTCATTAATGATTTGGTATAACTAATACTGTAAATGTAATCATTTAGCCTGGTCTAATACTGCTCAGTGAATTCATTTATCCTGTTACTCTTATGAGAATGTCAACAACTGAGAGCATATCTGGGCCTTGGCAACCACCCTGAAGTGTTCAGTGGCTCTAACTCAAATTAATGTAGACAAGAAGAAATGGAGACTCATGTCTTGTTTTTAGATGGTCCTTTCTCCTTCTGTCTTACCAGTTGTGCAGATACATACAATGCTATATGAAAGAATGCTATCTTCACCAATTTCTTATCCCTAAAACCTTGGATGTGTTCATTAATTTATATTTCTAGACTTAACATTTTTTTCCTTCTTCTTTTAATTCTGGGGCTGAAACTAGGGCTTTGGATATGCTAGGCAAGTGCAGTATCACTGAACTACAAGTCCCCTCTGGACTGACTTTAAAGAAAGTTGAGGATCACATAGTGACACACCCAGCACTAAGGAGGACCGAAGGACTGCAAGTTTAAGGCCAATCTAGAGTATACAGTATGACCCTGTCTAAAAAAGAAGCAAACTAAAAAAGCTGAGAGAAGTGTCCATCTCCTAATCCTGTTTGCTTTCTTGAACAAAATTTCAGCTTCTTTCTCAGTTATTGGAAATTGATACCCAGAAGTGAAAGCATGTAAGCAAAGATTTTTTTTTTATCCTGCTATTGAGAACTAAGTGACAGTATCTTGCAAAACAAAGTGAAAAACACAAATGGGGCTCCTTATAAAGTATTAATGGATTCAGGACTATTAAAAAGGAATATCTGGAAGCTTCTGTTTTCCAGGTCACACTTTGGCCATCAAATAGATAAGAAATCTTCAAATGTAAGCATCTTGGCCCTGAGGCAAATGGTGCATATGGTAGTCTGGAAACTTGGAATCTAATTTCAGTTCTGCCATTATCAAACTAATTAAAATTCTTTGCATTTTGCCTCAAATTGTTCCATCTGATGCAGGCTGTAGGGTGGGACTGGTGTCAGTTCTCTCTGGTTCTTCAAACTGGCTATACACTAACATGTCCTATGGAGCTTATGAAAATCCTGATGCTTTGGTTATATTCCAGACCAATTAAATCAGGTCCTGTGTAAGTGGGACCTGGCATATTCTCTAGGTGACTGCAATGTGTGGTCCAGGTTCAGGACGACTATCTTGCAGGGTTAAGAGCTGGGGCAGTGTTTGTTAAAAGCACATAAGTAGATGGTGCGTGTTGGTAAATAAAGTGTGAGATAAAGAAATGTTGCCTGCAGAAATTGCTGGGGTGAAGGGCCCAGTAGCTCCCAGACTGAACTCAAGACATGGACAACAAGAGATTTCATTGGCTTGTATTTGCTAAATCCAGTCTTAATTTGAAGTGGGTCAACTTCTCCTTGCTTCTAGTTTCCAGAGCTCCTATATAGCAAATATAATTAGGTTTCTCTAATTTTCAGGTGGTCCGAAGAAATGTACTAATAGCTTGACAATGCCACTTGACTGTGTCAGAATAAATGTGAGCACTCAAATTGCACCTGTTTTTCAAGCATCATGTTAAGTCTACCTTCCCTATTTTGGCTCTTATTAATCATTTCATTTCTAGAATTCTACAACACCCCTAATCAACATCATAATTAATGCTATCTTACATTGTTTTAAATTCCATATTTCTCGTTTAGGCTTCTTAGAAGTTTAATGGAAACTCTAGCCTGAAATATATTGATCCTTCCTGAGGCTTGCCATACTGAAGGTGTTCCATTAGGATCTGATCATCTAATCTTAGTTGCCCTTTTGTCCATTTTCCTTAGACACATTTTGTTCTAGAAGGGATATGGCTATAAACACTTGGAGTGTTAATGGTAGAGCTGTAGAAAGGTACTAACTAGATTTTAACTCTAACAACCCTCTTGAAGACTCTCTCATGATCCTCTAGCTGCGGCAGAGTGGTAATTCTGGGAGAAAGACTCTTAAGAGTTTACAAAATTGGAAAATTCCAGCTGAAAGAAGCAAGGTAAAGATCATTTATGGACAAGAACTTAAGCCAAGCCAATTCACAGAGCCAAAATGGGCCTCGGCAAATCTCAGGCTGTTCTGACAACACTGTGGAACAGAACCATCCAACAGAACTTTTTGTAATGATGGCATGATCTGTGTCTCCCCTGTTGGAAAATGAAATGTAGCCTGTGTGCCTGAGGAACTAAAATGTTAAATTTTATCGGAATTACACTTAAATCTAGATATCCAAACAAGGCTGGTGGCTACTGAACTTGACACTGTGGCAAGTCTCATAAAAGGCAGAAAAGCACGGGGTGAATGGGGAGCAAGAGCACTTCTTCTAGCTAAGGGTGATGCGGTATATCTTTACTTTGACCACCACAGGCTCTTCTGGCAGTGAGAGAGGGCCTCAATTTGGCTTTCAGGTTCCAGAACTTGACTCCATGCTCAGGATGGTGGCATTATAATAAATTTCTATTTTTCAGAATGATTGAAGGCTGTTTTTTAGGCTTAGAATAAAATCTGACATTCTCCAGTAATTCTATCCTTCAACATACATCTAAGGTAAAAAGAAAACTTCAAGATAGCTTATCCAATGCCATATGAAATACATATTCTTCTGAAGAAGTTATCGCATATATTAAAAGTGGTTAATAATTTTCAAAAAGAATACATGAAAACATAATCAAAACTAAAGCTAGGCTTGATGACATTTGATCTCTGTGATTCCAGATCTTGTATAACTTTTCAAGAGCTTGTGGATTGTAATGAACAGCTTCTTAAGGAGACTGTTGTATTTGTTGCCATACAACAAAACCCTTCATATTAACTTTTTAACTTGTCATTAGCGGTTTTATTAAAAAGGAATATATAAAATACCGTTACTTAATCATGATGGTGATTTAAATTCTAGATAAAGATGTAATTACCTTAATAATAACTTTTAAGGTACAAAGTTAATGCTACAGTCACCATTATTAGGTCTGGTTGTCTGAGGGTAGTGCTAGGTTTGTAATGTGTTTTACCTGAAGTTTTCTTATCCTTTATTGTGTAGATAAACTCTACTGTGGAGCAAATATTAGATGATAAATCAGGGCACAGTAGATGTGTAGAACTTTCCAAATTATTCAGGTGCTAACATAAACCACACTACATAGATCTGAATTAAAAGTACCTTTGCTTCAATCAATCTCCTACCTGGAACATGTCTCAAAACATAGCTAAGCAACCTGTCTTCTTTTCATCTCATATCTACTCTACAGTTTCATGATTAATTTCCCATTATCGGTTCCAAAATATTTCTATTTTGTCTTTCTCTCATTGCCTCAAATTCACAGACCTAAAACAAAACCAATCTCAAAATCTTAAGAACTGGATGAGATCCAAGGAGACATCTAATCTTGGCTTTAATGGCTATATGAATAACTTCTATGAAGCTTCCAATAGAGATTCTCCAATCTCTCCGTTCATGCCTTTAGCTCCAGGAAACACCCTTCTTCTCAAGACTGCCATATTAGGTATCTAGCTTCCGATAGTAACTCTATGTCTAGGGTTTCCCAGACAGGAAATTATATCATTTTGCTTCCAGTTCCTGAGTCATCTTTAGTGCTATATGAAACTCCATAGACCTAATCAAGTATGGGGTAGATCAAGTCTAAAAATTTTCATCTGTTTTCTTGTAGCCCCATATTTCCTAAAGCAATCACTGATTGATTATATTGATATTTTACATCTATCAAGAACTTAACCTTAAACTAGTGGTTGGATAAAGAAAGTAGTACATATGTACAATGAAGTATTACTCAGCCATGAATAATGAAATTATGTCATTTGAGGGAAAATGAGATAGAACTGGAGATGATCACATCCTGTAAAATAAGCCAAGCTCTGAAAAATAAATGTTGCATGTTTTCATTATATGCAGATTCTGGTTAAAAATTAATATAACATGATTATAAAAATGGAATTTTTTGGGGAGAAAGGAGAGGATGATGGAGGTACATAATAGAGTTTTTAATATATGACAATAGTACAATAAAATCCACCAAAAACTATAAAAAGAAAGAGGGGAGAAGCCGGGCACTGGTGGCTCGTGCCTGTAATCCTGGCTACTCAGGAGGCTGAGATCTGAGGATCACAGCTCAAAGCCAGCCTGGGCTGGAAAGTCTGTGAGACTCTTATCTCCAATAAACCACTAGAAAACTGGAAGTGGTGCTGTGGCTCAAGCTGTAGAGTGCTCGCCTTGAGCTGAAGAGCTAAGGGATAGCACCCATGCCCAGAGTTCAAGCCCCACCGCCATCAAAAAGAGGGGAGAAAGGAGGGTGATTAGGAACAGTAACATAGATGGGGTGTTTATAAAAGTACATTATGTGCAAGTTGTAAATACTGCGATGAAACTCCTTTGTAGAATTTATACTAACAAAATTTAAAAGAACTCAACCTTAGAAACTTAAGAATTCCTTACTTTAAATCTTATGTTTTATGAGATGTTTTTGACCAAATAGCCATGCCAGAATTATAGCATGTTAGTCACAAATTAGAAATACAGCTACAGTTCATCAGCAGATAAAGTGCTAATTGTACAGCTTACTCATGGGTTAAAGACTCCTGTGGAGTGAAAAGTGCTGTATGCAAGGAGAAATGACATTTCAGGGAAATTCTGGGTAAAACTTCAGAGGAGAGGAATCCTTCTTATACATTTCTTAGGTTTTGCTTTTCTCTAGTGTGTATACCCAGTTTAGCTATCCATATGTCTATATTTCTCTATATTATATCACTTTAAAATAACAAAAAGGATGAAAAATTTAAACTCTGATAGTCAATTTCACGTATTTTCAGATTATTTCAGTAGGTAGATACAAATAGGTTTACTGAATGTTACATAGGCTTTCTGTACACACTTGAAAATAGAAGTATGCCAAAGTATGAGTTGTATGGACTTCATTAAGCCCTAGTTTCCTTTCTGACTGAAGATAGGGAATTGAAAGAAAATGATTGAGTGATGAGTAAATCATCATTGACTAGGCTGTTTACGAAAGCTGTGTTGCTGTGGTACAACTTGCTAAAGACAGGATGACTATGCTTTTGTTTAGAAGCTAGAATATAGACACCTACTAGAGAAGGCTGATTCTCCTCACTCTGCACATCTGAGTTAGACACAACATTCAGGGGATGAAGATTATGTATTTGAGAACTGCTACCTCTCAAAGGAGTCAGTGAGGTAGAAACGAATATAAAGGATAAGGAAGATTACTCTCTTTAATGTAGATCTTTAAAAATGAACCTTCAAAACAATTAAAAAAAGTTATTCAAAGGTACACAAGTATACACGTTAATTGTCTTCCATTTTACAATTGCCAATACAATAGAAACAGCCCAAGTATCTACCAAACATTCATTGATAAATAAACAAATTATAGTATATTTATACAATGGGTATAATTTGGCCATAAAAAGAAATACTGCCACATGCTGCAAGGTGGATAAATCTTGAAAACATTATGCTAGGTTAAAGAAGCCAGATATAAAATGTCATGTATTACATATTCCATTTATATGACATCCAGAATAGTTAAATCTATGGAGACAGAAGGCAGATTGTAATGTTCAGAGCCCATGAGGAGGAGGACAGAGGAAGAAACTGCTTAAAGGGGAAGAAGTTTGAGTTTGGAATGAGGACAATGATCTAGAACTGGATAGAAGTGGTGGTTGCACAGCCCTAAATGTACTAAGTTGGTCATTTTAGAGTGGTTAAGGAGAACAATAACGAACTCATCTTAAAACTAGAGTCTTTTCTCTAGAATCCTCTCCACCGTGTTTTATACTTACCTTGCACACCAGGGATGTCTTTGCTCCAAGCCTAGCAGCTTGGACACACTGGTTGGCACCTTTCCCTCCAAAGCCAATAAAAAACTTACGTCCGTGGATGGTTTCTCCAGTTTTTGGCAAACGAGAAGTTAGACTATTATAATTGAAAAGGAAAGGAAAAAAAGTATATTGGTAATTACAATCAATTTTTTTTAAGGAGAAGAACTGTTATCAGATGGGGCTCTGATTAATTTTAGAACTGGAAGCTGCCAGCCAGATGATGGCTTTTCCTTTAAGACACACAGGAGTTTGCACCATCATTAAAGATGCATTTCTCCTCAGGAGTTCCTGTCTTCCTCATAGCCCACTGTTGTAGCTTGACTTTAGATGTCAATTCCTGATATCTGTTCCACATCAGGGTTATTTATGGCTACCTCTGTTTTATTCTCATCTTCCTAATACCCCGCCCAGAGCTATAGTCACAGTAGGATTTAGTAAATGGGATGAAGTCAATTCATGCTTCTTTATGGGTCTATCTGGTTTCCTTATCAAGAAGCTGGAGGTATACTAGGATTCTCATGTATAATCAGTCATGCATGGGACCTAAGAAGAGGGAACTTGTAATTTTAGGTACTAAAAAGTCCCATTTGTTTAGGGGTGATATGGGCGCAGGGTATTGAGAAAGCAGGATTAAGTTTTGGTACCAGTCCATCCTGCCTACCACATAATTTTTATGTATTGATTAAAAAAGAACACCTATTTAAGATAATGGACATTAAAATATTAAATTTAGTTTTTAATCTTTATTATGGACAATATTAACATATAAAAGTAGAACAAGTAGTATAATGACTTCCTTTACTCCTATTCACCCAACATCCAGATTCAATAATTATCAGCCTAGAATTATGTCCCAGTCTGTAGCTTCATTGACTTCTTCAAAAGCTAAGCATTTACCGAATTATTGCTTAATGGCAAAAAGGATAAAAGATTTGCCACAAGGTAAGACCTTCATAAGGCCTTACATCATAAGGTGAGGAAACAAACTCTTTGAAGGATAGAGGGAAAGGATTGACTTTAAATGGAAGAATTCTGAGCATATAAGGGCAAATGGAGGGGCACAAGCACTGGTTGCCTGGCCACCAAGGGGGCCAAGAGCTGTATGAAGTAAACAGCAAGTATTACCAAAAAAAAAAAGGTTCATTACCTTCAAATAGGAAAGGCCAAGAGGTAAGTTCACCAAGAACATACATTGCTTTAGATGATCATACCTTTTATTAATTTATAAAATTATGATACAGCCGAAACAAATGTGATATATATTAGAGTAGAAGGCTAAAGCAAATTCCCACAAGTCATTAACAGCTTGTTTGCAATGGGATGACAATTTGTAGTTGCCAAGAACATATGATTGCTTCAATAAAGACCAAGATAAATTTGTGAGCCTCCTTTATGTGGTTCAAAAGTGTCGATAAATCTGGCTAACCTTTTCTATTCTATTACAGTGAACTGTCAAATATAGTTGAGATTCAGAAGAGACTCATCAATAATTTGAAAACATCCCACTCCTCCCCTTTTCAATGCTATTTTTATCTTGGATTCTAAATGCACTTATAGTACTGAGGAAAAAATATACATCAAAAGCTTTGCTTCTGAAAAAGGTACTCAATCAAAAGAAAAATGGTTTTAATGTAATGTTATTATCCTGTCATTTAATTTAGCAATGACAAGTGATGATGAGATTTTGATTTGCATCAGAAATCTTAAACATTTTAGGATTCTGTTATGAACAGGCGATGATGAGTAATCTGTGTGATTGAGTAACCATGTCAATTCTTGGCTTATCAATGCTGCTACAAACAACATTCATAACAACTTTAAAAAGAAAATACCCTATGTGGCTAAAAATAGACCAAATAACTTAATTAGTAAGACTGTCATTTAGTGAAACTTATTACTTCCACTATATTTATATTTAGATCTAGGTCACAATTCACTGCTTGGAATCAAGTGTCTTATTATTAGCTGTGGGAGATCAGAAAAATATTATCATCAGATTTCAGGTTGTATGCCTATGTAGGGGAGGGGTGAAATCAGTAGTGTGTGTTTGATGTGGAAGCATATGGCTGAGATTTAAACTCATTTCTAAACATCTGACTCTAATGTATATTAATTCATCAATCACTGAAATTCTTCACTTCTTTGGTATTTTACATTTTCCTTTCCTCCCTCCCTCCCCTCCTCCTCCTTTTTTTCTTTTTCTTTTTGGTTGGTTGTGGGGCTTGGGACCGGGGCGCTGTCCTTGAGCTTTTCTGCTCAAGGCTAGTGCTCTACCACTTTGAGCCACAAAACTACTTCCGGTTTTCTGGTGGTTAATTGGTGACAAAAGTCTCAGGGACTTTCCTGGCTTGAACTGTGATCCTCAGATCTTAGCCTCCTGAGTAGCTAGGATTACAGGTGTGAGCCACCCATGCCTTGCTCACAATTTTCTTTTTCTTTTGCATTTTTCCTTTGCATTTGTTTCTTCCTTCAATTGTAGACATTCCCTTCATGAGGTAAGGAGAGGGATTAAGTCTGTTCTTTCATTTTATCCCAGTTCCTGTCACTTAGCATGAACTTAACAGATACTTGCTAAAGAAATGAATCTGTAAAAGCCCCTGTGTCTCTTTTTTTTATGTCTCCTCTTTATAATATCTATTCTTGCTTCTGAACTGAGGATGCAGAGGTGCTGATTTGAGAAAGGAGGAGACTGGCATGAGGATGAGTGTACACTGTTTGGCAAAAATCAATTCCGTATTTTACCAGATCTTGCCGACCATTTTCATGGAATTCTTTTTCCTAAAGAATTGTAACTATAATTCACATATTCTTTCATACAAGCAGCAATTCAACAAATGTTGAATGTTCCCAATATACTCTTTCTACAGGGCAATTTGCTGACAATGGGATAAAATCCAAACCTGATGCAAATAACAGGTAAATCAAAGATACAGGTTACAGAACAAGGAGCAACAATGATTTGGCACATGCCTTTGTTGTCATAGAGTTTTGCTATGTACTTAGACTGGTTTTGTACTTTTAATCCTCTAGTCTCAGTCTCCTGAATATTAGATTGTAGACATGTAATGTGGCTTGATTCGTGGCTTTTATTTTTTCTTTTTTGGTGTACTGGAGTTTCAACTCAGGGTCTCAAGCCCATTTAGCTTTCTTGCTCAGCTGGCAATCTACCACTTGAGCCCGATCTCCAGCCCCATCTTACACTGGTTATTTTAGAAAATGGAGCCTTATGTACTTTTCTGCCCAAGGTGGCCTTGACCCTCAAGCCCTTAGCCTGCTTAGTAGCTAGGATTTCAGGAATGAGTCACTAGTGTCCTATGTATAGTTGCATTGCTTAAGGATAGGGATCCAGTCTGAGAACTGGGTGATTCTGTTGCCTTTTTGAATATCAGAGTATGCTTACACAAACTAAAATGGCTGTGTCACTAGGTGTTATACTCTGATGGGACCTCATTACATAAGCAGTTTACGGTTGACAGAATGTTTTTATGTACTGCACAATTACATATGTTGTTGTGATATGTAAGTGCCGGAAAATGGAATTGCTCCAGGCGCCAGTGGCTCACGCCTGTAATCCTAGCTACTCAGGAGGCTGAGATGTGAGGATCACGGTTCAAAGCCAGCCCGGGCAGGAAAGACTGTGAGACTCCTATCTCTAATAAACCACCAGAAAACTGGAAGTGGTGCTGTAGCTCAAGTGGTAGAGCGCTTGCCTTGAGCTGAAGAGCTGAGGGACAGCGCCCAGGCCCAGAGTTCAAGCCCCACGACCGACCAAAAAAAGAAAAAAGAAAATGGAATTGCTTATGACAGCCACAGAGAATGGCGGGAAGTAAAAGTTTTTTTTAATGTACTTATGCACGTAAGTATATACAGTAAGCATATATTGATATAATACTGCAAACCACTTGACACTATTTTAGATTTGTCATTCCTGTCTGATTTCTAGCTACCAGTTCTTCCTGGGTTGAGACCACTAATGGAGCCTTGTGCAATGCTGTGTTCTTCCCACTTGAGGGCTTCTGTTTCTGTTATGGTTTTTTATACTGTCTTCAAGGAATGAATAACCAAGTGCTCTGAGGAGCTGCCAATTCTAGAATGTCAGTAACTTATATGGTCTCTTCCTCTTTGCTTCAATTTCCCTGCTCCCTGTGCCTTCTTCCTGCATTATAGTACTCAATAGTCTGTGCTCTTAAGCCTCTGTCTTATGACCTCCTCCTGTTTAATCCAAGCTAAAGACAGTTTATACATATTTACCTACATAAGATAGCTATAATGTCTTAAATTACAAAAAAGAAATTGAAAGTGTAGAGAATAGAGGGAACAACTGAAAAGTTAATCACAAACAGGCAGAAGGCTTTCTAATTCTAGTTTACCTTCCATTAGAGCTTCCTCACTTTTTACCTCATTGAATCATGAAATTATATTTGGATTTCAGAAAGGACTCACAAAAAGCACTATCCCCTGGACATAAAGCATGACTATGATTTCCCCTAATTTAAGCAGGAGTAGTAGCATGGTGCCCCTAACAGACAAATAAATGTGCTCAAAGGAAAACAACAACAACACAGTACTGGTAGAAACTTTTGCTATCCTATAAAAAAGAAAATAGCATAAATGTCCTAATGGAGAAAACCCAGACAAAACCATGCAAAAGAAATACACTTCAACTGAAAACATTGAAGCTTAAAAAATGTCACAACACTTTTCAGTTGGACAGAAAGGAACACTATCCATGTTCACAGATGGCCCTGAAGCCTTCCTTGCTGCAGGAAGCCATGCTGCCATTAGACCCTGGGTATTTGAGGCAGGAGGCCTGATTGTATTACCTTGACAGCCTTTCCCTCTTTGAACCAGCTTTTTCTCTTGCAAAACAGTTTAATAATACTTGTCAAGCCCTTAAATGCCTGGGTTTTGTGCTCTGAGTTAATTCACTGACAGGTGTTACCAGAACAACTTATCAATTGCTTTTAATTCTTGACAATGAGGTGGCTGTTACATATTTGATATTATTCTAACCAAAGGAAGGAATGGCAGATTTTAGAGGGCTGAGACACTTGTAAGGAGAGGTCATGTTAGCCTTAGCCAAAAGTTAAGGAA